TATGCCTGCGAAAACCTACACTTTTTAAAGAAGATCGACAAAACAATACTTAGTAAGCAAGACCATTAGCGCTGATTTTTTCCCAATAACAAATGAATCCGATAACGAAATATTGGTGGGCATTAAGTAAGTTCGATCTTAATAATGAATAGTAATAATACTGTTGAGAGTCACTCGACTGAATAGTAACCTGACCGACCAATCAGATCGCATTGAAGCACACACACACACACGTGACTGCGTCGTTTTTTACTTTATAGATAAAATTTTTTTATTTATAATAAATATTAAATATTCAAAATAAATAAAAATAAATTAATAATTATATAATCTTTTTTATTAAATATATAATAAGAAAGACAACATGCTTAATCTTTTAATAAAAAAATATTTTTCAATAAAAAAAATTGTATTCAATTAAAATATTATTCAATAATCAAATAACATATAATAAAACTACTAAATATATAAAAAAATATAAGATTATATATTTTTATTAACTTATATAAGTAGAAATTGATATTTTTTTAAACCAAAAACCTATTTAATTTATTTATAATTATAGTAAAAAATTAAAATTTCATTGATATACCAAAGTTTAAAATTTTTAACTAATAAGTTTAAAGTTTTTAATTTAAAATAAAATAACAAGTATACTTAAAAAAAGATATAATTTTATCTAATATAAATATAAAAAAAATAATTAATTTTATAAATTAAGAAATAAAAGTTTTTTTAAATTATCAATATAAGTATTATATTAATTAAATTTGTTTAAATCAACTTAAGCTTTATAAGTTTTTTTTAAAATATTATTTAAAAAAACATATTAAATATTTTATTTAAGCAAATAAAAATAGAATATTAAAATATAATTAATTTATAATAATTTTCTATTCTAAATAATCTATTAAAATATAATAAATTAAGTTATAATAAATATATAAAATATATATTTTATAAAATAAAAAAAATATTAAATTATATTTCAATATTTAAAAAAATAAAAATAAACAATAAAGAAATATAGATACTTTTGCAAAAAAAAATTTAAAAAATATAAATATTCAAATATTTTGTTTTCAATAAATCAAATGAAAAAAATTATATAGTTTTAAAATACTAATAAGAAAAAATTTGAATTTATTGAAAAAATAATTAATTTTTTTTTATCACAAATATACATTAAATGTGAAACTTTATTTAAACAATGAGTTTACTGTCATTACATTAATAATTTTTGTGAAAAAAAATATAAATTAATTATAGCCTATTGTAACATAAACTAGTTACACAAATTTCACCAAGTAGGTGGATTTATATAGGTAGTGCTGAATGGTTAATGCCTGTTTAGAATGATAAAACTATTGCTGGAGTGAATATTTGTCTGTTAGTAAAGTTGTTTGAGTTTTGTAATGTACTAAGTACTTTGATAAATACTGAATTATTGTTTTTGGTTAAATGTTATTATCGTTGGGAGTGACACTTGGAGTTTTTTTCCCATGTGATTTCTAAAAAATAATTGATTTATAATTAGAATATTCTTATTTATTATATATAAAATTTTAATTGATTTGGATTTTAATACTAATTTTGATATGAAAATATCAAATAAAAAATTTCAATATTGTACAAATCAGTTTTAATATTTACTAAAATTTATATATTTTTAATTTAAATATTTTATTAAATAAAAAAAATTTTTTTTTATTTTTTTTAAGTAAAAATGAATAATAGATGTTAATATTTTATTGTATATACAGTATAATAGAAAAACAAGAACGAAGTTCTTTGCTAAATAATGGAACCAGTTGGTGTGAATTATCGACCAATTATCACGTGCTTCAAGTAGAGGAAAAGGGAACATACCTTAACGTTACGCGAGTGCAAGCAACAGACTTGCCGTTAACGTTGGCAATAGTTTTTTTTGTATACGTGGACCTTATGTAAATAATTCCTTGTGTGAATAATAATAATAATAAAAGGAAATTTTTTTGAAATTTGAGGAAAAATTTTCCCTTTCCATTTATCACGAGATTTTGTCAAGTATACAAGAGTTATATTGCAGTTGGATTTCAATTTGTAGTAGCATAGAACCTTTGGACACTAATGGCGTGTAAAATAAAACCATTCTTCTAACAGCCTATTACATCTCACCTCGTTTTTAATTTATTAAAACCTTAAATTACAGTAAGCAATTAAAAATATAACACATCCATCCATAATGAAATAACTTTGCGGAAAACTGAAAACTCATTATATAAACATTTAATAACTACAATATTAAAAAAGTTTCACAAAATCTAAACGCAATATCCTATATTATTTTGAACGAAAGAATTTTTAATTATTGATATATAGTAATATACGTATGTACAGAATATGGTGATAATCAATTAGATGATCTTAGAACGAGACATGAAAGAGCTGACCAAGTTCTTTATTCTTTATTAACTTTGTTATGCATTTGTACATGTTCTATATTAATAAAATTTACTGAAGCCAATTAAATTTTGTAGAATGTTAAATATTATAATTCTAATTGAATAATTTTTATCTTTCTTTTTCTTTTCGACCCCATAATAGTAATTCACGAGAAAATAACAAAAATAGATTTAAAATCTTGTCTATTTTACGATCCATATGGATTCGTGAGGTAAATACACTTATGAAATTTCGATATCTTTATTCTATAATTTCCCGTGTAACAACACGAGTTATTGTATACAGTATTGTGTTACCATATGTCACGTACAATAACTTTCTGCCTAAAATGGTAATGTGCTGACCGGAGTATATTATGCCATTTAACATGGCTCCATTGCTCAATTTCAAATTTGCGACCTCTCAAAACAAAATTTTTTTTCTCCACAAAAGAGTAATATATAACACAACTTCTTTGGAAAGCAACAAATTCCTTTTTATAGATAAAATATTTAAAAAAGATCAACACAGCTAATCCTAAATAATATAAAAATAAGAGGCCGATTGTTACACAATGGTTTGGTCTTATGTTAAACGTTAAACTAATAATTTAATCCATTGTGTGTTCGGGCGTACATAAATTAAAGTGTGCTCACTTTTCAGTTGACATGGAAATAATAAGGCATCGATTATTTTGAGGCAATTAAAAAGATCGTTATACGAGCAATATTGCGAATTTTTAATTAATAAAATAAATTTTAGAATTAAAAATTCACCGGCAAGTTAAAGTATTTTTTATATGAAATAACATTAAAAAAATGCCAAAAAACCAACTATTTTTTTCCGCGTATAACCTGATACGACAACTGGCTTTAACTATTGGCTTGTTTAATACATACGTAAATTTGACGCGATAGTTTGCTTTAACCATTGGCTCATCTCGTCTAATGCGATCTTGCTCGTACCGAATATATAAGGACTCGGTAATCCCCCTTGATTAAAAGCAGTTTCACTCACACACCTCAAATCATTTTTGGATAAAAATGAAATTCTTCACATTTGTCACTCTCTTATCAATTGCCATTTCCACGGTGTCTTCCACCATCGTGCCAGGCACCTACTTTGATCGTTTCTTTTTGATTATGTTTGAAAACACCAACTATGCAACAGCAATAAAAAACGCCTATTTAAAAGACTTGACCAGTCGTTCCAATGGTCTTCTCCTTACCAATTATTTCGCAGTCGCTCATCCATCCGAGGTATGTTTACAAGTTTGATCATTATAATGACCATCAGAGAATTTATGGAATCACTACTGTACATGTATTTTACCTAGCCCAATTATGTTGCCACAATTTTCGGTTCAACCGCTGGTGTCACAAATGATGGTGATTATAATATCACTGGACAAAATCTGGTCGACCTTCTTGAAAATAAACAAATCAGCTGGAAGGCTTACATGGAAGATTACCGTAAGTCTCATATAGAACCTGAGAGTGTATCTTTTGGTTATCTTTTGTTAGGAGTGTCTATGGGATCGATTTCCATGAAATTGCCGTTACTGTAGACATTTCTCATCCAAAAAACATCTAAAAAATCAACCCTTTCAACCCTGTACATGAATTAATATTTGGCTCCTATTCACATTTCTTACAATCGATTTACAGCTGGAAACTGTTTCACTGGCGACTTCGCACCTTCGGGAACCGATAACTACGCGAGAAAGCACAATCCTTTCATCTCAATGCAAGATATAAGCTCAAACTCCGCCCGTTGTGCAAAAATAGTTCCCGGAACCCAACTTGATGCAGACATTAACGCAAATGCCGTACCACAATTCGCCTATTACGTCCCAAACCAACAAAACGACGGTCATGATACTGGCTTGTCATTCGCGATGAATTGGTTCCAGGGTTGGTTTGAACCAAAACTTTTGAGACCAGAATTTACCACAAATACATTATTCTTTATCGTTTTTGATGAATCGGGTAGCGGATCCAGTAATCAGGTTTTTGCTGGCCTTCTCGGTTCTCCCGTTGTCCCTCCTGGTACTCACAAGGATGCTACCTCTTGTAACCATTATTCGATCTTGAAAACCCTTGAGAATAATTGGAATTTGGGAAATTTGGGCAGGAATGATGTTAGCGCGAATCCGTTTACCACTTACTTGCACCATCCTTAATGACCAATATCAGAAAGGAAGCCCATTGCTTATTAAATTAATTATATATCACATATATTATATTACTACATTCACATTTTGATGCAATGACTATACAAACATCACTATTCACATCACATTTGTAATAGATTACATTCAAAGTTACAATCTAGGTTTTTATATATTACAGCGAGATCTGGTCACATGTCTCCTGTGACTACAGTATATAATAAAGTTGCAATTTTAGTTATCGATAAAAATTTGGTATTGAATCTTTACGGGCCAACCAACTTTCTTGTGTCAAAAATTTCCTCATCACGTACTGTATAACATCGATAAATTTCCTATATGCATTAAGCTAAATCGAAACAGTACTTGCAAAGGAAAAATGGGCTATTTCCTGACCAATATAAAATACGATTAATTTTTTCAGGGTAAATTTGGAACGCAAGTCACATCACGTTATGCTGTAACGGGCTTTGAGAGAGTGATGTTAGTGTCCTTACTTTTGGAAATGTAAAGAATAATATTTTTTATGATTTATTGTTTAAAAAAAATATATTTGATTAAATTTTATTTTATTGTAGCATACAGTATTGCAAAAAAAAACTTTTTTAAAATTTAATTTATTCATCATTTAAAAATTATAATGATAATATTTTCCTTGTATAAAAAAAAAAAAATTTTTTTTTTTTTAATTTTTATAGTCAAGATGGATTCCGTAAACAAATTCCTATTTAATTAATTTTATTTAAATGTAAAAATATTTCATTGCAATTACTAATTAATTAATTACGATGGTTTTATTATAATTAATATATATATATTATTATTAAAATATTATGAATTTTTTTAAAAAAATTTGAATAGAAAAATTCAGTGGTTAAATTTGACAACCGATATTTAAACAAAAAAAGATTTGTTATCATTATTATTTAAAAATTGAATGAAACGTTAAATGATTTTTTTTTTAAAAAAAAGAAAAATTCTGTATTTATTAAAATTAAAAAATTTGAATAATCATAATAATCTAACGAGCACCAAAATTTTCTTCTCTAATGTAATGAATATACAAAAAAATCGTCTCATCAAATTCTTACCATTGTTCATGCTAAACCGTAGCGCCGATCACCTCTTTCAATATACTGTATATCATTAATTTAATTTTTCAGAAAAAAATATAAAAAATCGTCACAAATCATTTATTAAATAATAAAATTGACTTTTTTAAAATAATGTATTATTATGATTAATTAGTTAATTATTAAATTATCATTTTAAATGTGATTCTAGAAGGTTAACGTTTCAGCAAGATCGTTATTAAATATTGGAGGAAAAAAAGAAAGAAAGAAAGAAAAAGAAGAGCTGTTCGTGCAGAAAGATATGTAACTGGATAGTTGCATATAGTAATCATAATAATTATATCGATAGCGTCATTTTGCCCTCCCTCTGCGGTTGTATGTGGTGAATTGCGTAAAAATCATAAGTTAGAATGGTGCCAGTAGCAAGTAAGTAGGAATAGTAATAATTAATATAACTTTGTAATCGGTAAAATTATAAAGAATATTCCCGTTATACAGTAATTGGAGCATTCGTTATGCATAAGTAGTATACATATGATCGTGTAGGAGGGAAAATTGTACCAGAATCGAGAACTCGCCTCATGATTCATAGTATCTGATCGACCCTATTGATAAAGTCAACGGCTAAAATAATTTCGCGGAACCTTAATTTTTTTTTTTTCTAATTCTATCTTTTTCGAGCACATCTGGGCACTGAATTCCAATTATCCTCTAGTCGACTTTACATGTTAGAGTTCTATTGGTTTCATAATTTTGTCATTTTACTGGTGACTACGTGTTAAGAAATGATAGCCGGCAAGTAGCCGGCAAATGATTCGGGTCTTCCTAATTTATTATTATATGCCTCTTCGCATCTGGTTTCTTTTCACTTCCAGTGGTTCTTCATGTTTCCAAGTTCGGTAAATCCTCCGAGATTAGCGCTGACATAATGCTTAATTAATTACACAACAAGTATAGCGTGAACAATCGGTGATATACCAAAAGGTTACACGATAAAGGCCAAATTTCGTTTAAATTCTCGCGAAATAATTTGAGTGTGGAAAAAATTTTAACTCTTGTTAAAGATAAAATTCAGACACAATATGGGGCTACTAAGCAATATAAATTTAAACGAATTACTTTCATTTGTCATAGTAGGATCAATTGGCTACGTTTCCTATTTCTACTATAAATACTTCACTCGTGAAAACCCTTTGCCCGGCCCCTTACCATTACCACTCATCGGAAACTTTTATTTACTTAAAGATGAATTGGCCATCATGTTGAGTAAATTACAAGCAAATTACGGTGACTTCTTTGAAGTTTACATGGGAAACCAACGTTACGTATGCGTAGGCAATGAAGATTTGGCGAAAGAGATGATGAAAACATCACTCGACAGTAAATTTCATCAACGTACAGACGAAAATAATGGATTAAAAGAATTAGGATTACTCCACTCCGGACTTATATTTAACATTGACTATGACGATTGGCAATATCATCGTAGATTCTATTCAAAAACCATGCTATCGCCATTATTCTCCAAACAAGCGGTGGCCAGTGTACAAGTTGGGTTTGACGAGATGCGCAAGTATTGGGATCAACTAGGAGAAGACATTGTCATAGATTTTCCCAATTGGATGAAAAGATATTTTTTGGACACCATTGCGATCACCACCAGCAGTAAACCTGCTTACGCTTTGGCCAACTTTTACAATAATGTTTCACCCAACAAAAAAATCACGGTGTCCACTCATTATATAAAAGAAAGTGAAATGTTTATGAATGCGATTGATTCTTTCAATTCTGCACTGAAATGGTTTAACCTATTTCCTGCGTATGTTCGCAATTTCCCAGGAATCAACTTGCACACCAGAAAGCTAAAAAATGAATTCTTTTGGTTTAAGAATGATGTTCGCAAAGTAGTCAAAGCAAGGCGATCGGAGATCGATGCAACACCCAAAGACCAACCGCTTACTCCGGATCTGTTGACCATGTTCTTAACGGTTAACACTCCACGTGATGTCACCGAACGAATTGCCGACGATCAACATGATAAACCAATGACCGATGAAGAAGCTGCCTCGAATTACATGGAAGTTTTGTCGGGTGGAGTTGACACCGGATCAAACTCCATCTGTTATATAGTTTATTATATATCTCATTATCCCGATGTTAAACAGAAGTTGTTGAAAGAATTTGAAACGGTAATAGGAAGAGATCCCAACGTGAAGATTACCCTCGATCAACTTAACAAACTAGAGTACACCGAAGCTGTTATCAAAGAAGGTACATTGCGTTCTTTGGAAATCTTCTTTTTGCATTCAAAATCACGCCTTCCATTCATAATTATTATCTATAGTTAGTCGAATATTTACCGTCACGCCAGTAACATTTAAGAAAAATACGGGTCCCGCAGAGATCGGTGGTATCGTGTTCCCATCCGATACAAAATTTTTTATAAGTCGCCAAGCTCTTCATCTGAGCAAATCCCAGTGGTCAGATCCTGACAAATTTAATCCTGATCGATTCTTGAAATTCAATCCAGAGAGCAAGAATCCTTTTTATATGTTCGGTGCAGGTATAAGAAAATGTACGTATCACTTGACACACTGATGGTTTTTATACTTTACCCTTTTCTAATCTTTCATTATATTTTGAAGGTCCTGGAAGGAATTTAGCAATGATAGAACTCAAAGCTACGGTATTCATGCTGTATTCAAGGTACGAGGTAGAACTTGTGGATATGAATGCATCTATAAAATACCGAAGTTCGCATATGAGACATTGCACCGAGTTAAAAGTAAGGATTAAAAGGCGACGAGATTTGGATACAGTCAAAAATTAGAAATTTCTGATCACACACACAACAATATCATCACTTTAAAAATTTTATTTTCATTTGAGTCGGGCGAGTCAACATTTAACTGGATGATTGGTACAGCTCATTGTGAATCTTGTGTATATCTCGCAAATCAAAGTAACCTTATTTTCGGAAAATAAGGTTGTGCATCGTAAAATTAGATTTACTGTATGTGTTACCACCATCAACTTTTTTACCTAGTGACATATCGATAACAATTTTCTCTCGATAATTATTAAATCATGCTTATTCTATACTGTATATTTATGATAGCATTCTAATAAACCATTATTTAAAAGAATTGTTATATTAACAAAAATGTGATTTTCGAATAAAATATACTGTATTTGTTTATATATTCCGTCAATATTGACTGTATTCAATCGATTATTATTATTCTCGAATACAATCATTGATGCCCATAAATATTTATGTCAAATGTATTTTGATTCATTATATTTAATCAAGTCGTTTATAAATCTTTTTTTATTATTCATAACATATATTTTTAACATATATTTGTATTATACGTTTTTTTTTTTAACTGAATTTTATTTATTAATCAAATTCAAATTCTCCTATACTATATTAATTATTTTATATTCTTGTTTTTTTTTTAAACTGTTTAAATAATAAATTTATAAATAATGACAAATGATTCAATTATTATAAATAATAATAATAATAATAATAATAATAATAATAATAATAATAATAATAATTTTTTAAATGTAAAATGTTTTTTAAACATTATTTTTGCTTTTAAAAATATTTTTTTTTTGTCAAAAATAATATTGTTTTACGAAATGTAAATAAAGATTAATACAAACATAATTATTTAAAGAGTATTGGTAAAATAAAATAAAAAACAAATGAAGAGTGAAATTATTTTTACTTTGTCTTTTTAAATATGAAATTATAAATTATATAACATTTTCTTACATCGCGAAATGTTTTTTATTAAAAATTTAACAACTTGCAAAAATAAAATATTTAATAATATTCTTGACCAAATTCTTTTCCGCACTGATATTCCAGGATTTCATGCAGGAATGGTTCTGTGTTACACCTAAACCTCATGCAATTTCACTTATAATACGAATCCTTGGATTCCATTTTTTCACTGGAAAGCAATTACGTAAATCTATTACTAAGAGTATACACTTACGTATGCATAATAATCAATAGGGATATTAATTGGGAATTCATAAATGCGAGTGGTTCTTTTAGATGTTCCTTATTCATATACACACCAGCTAACGAATTGCTGAAATGTTTTGAATTTATATAAACGAATAAAATTTAACAAGCACAAACTAAGCATTGATTCGATTAAACCATTCTTTAGTGAAATTATAAATATCTAGATACTGTCGTCTAGGTGCATATTTTGTACGAGAGAAGTTTAATTATCGGTTTCTGTACGTATACCTTATACGGATTTATCGTGCATAAAATTTACCAATACATCTGCGTATTATATACTGTGCAGGAAAAAAAACAATCTTTCATTAAAACATCCTGGCTCCTTCAAAATCTTGGCGGCTAGTTTGGTCGTGCTTTTTGATAATTCATTTTAAAATAGTTATCTTACATATTATCGTGTTCCAAATTTTCTTTTGCTAAGAAATTGGATATCGGATGTAGGGAATGACTATTTGGCACATTAAACATTACTCTGGATTTTCGACCCATTTCAAGATCTGAAACTATTAGGAAATTGTTCATAGGTTGTTATTTCCGGCCTACTAACTATGCGCTAGAACTATTCAGTACGAAACCAGAGTATTCAATTTTATCTGAAACTACTCTTCCTTCCTTCTTTCAATTAAATACGTAAAGAAAGAGGGTAGCAATCGACCTTTCCATTTTTGAAGCTTTGTCTTTCAAAGAGACGGTTATTATTGAAGAATTAAAATCTTTGTTAAAGAATAAACTAGTAGGAAAAGGTAACTTTTCTTAGAGGCCAAATGTGAAATCATTAATTCAACACAGTATATTAAAGTTGATGCAGCGTATGATTGCGTGTCCAACGGACATAAACATGTAATATTTAATTTTTTATTTCCAAATCAGTATTTAACATTTGATACGGCAAACAAACAATGTCATAGGATAGAAATTTTATTTGCAAATATACTTTATACACTAACATGTTCAAAGTTACACCTTAGTCCGTTGAAATTGCAAGGCAAATAATAAAAGAGCAATAATACCTATAATATTAGTGGTGTAGATTAATAGAATAAATATATGTAAATTTTCGGATTTGCCATGTCCCAACTGTTTGCGAAAGTTTAATTAACGAATTACTAGGTTTGCTAATTTCATTGAAAATTTTCGTTTAGGTGACTCTGTTGGTAAATTTGATAATTCAATAAAAGAACCAAAAAATTTTTAAAGCTTATATTAACTTTTGCGGACAATATTTGATGCGAAGAAAAACGTGTACAATGCATTGGAAAAATGCTAAATACAAATTCATACTACATACACATTTAATTGCATAAAATTTCAAAACATGAGATTCATCAAATTTCGTACCAATTACATCTATAAAAAGAACCAACATCTTTTATTGGAACAAGGTCACGTGATCAATATAGGTTTTAACTTTTTCTAGTTCGAGGCAATTTAAAACCGCATAACCGAAAGTTGGGAGTTGTTTATGCCAACAAGTTCCCCACAGCTTCTATCATTCTTTAATCACTTCAATATGCTCCACCACGTATGTTTAATTCTTTTACTTCTTTTCTCAGAATCCATCAGCTTTACACCTCTCCCAAGATATAGTCAAATACAAAATCTAATTGGCACCAAATTATATTACGCTGGTGGAGAGATACCTGATGGATCAGGCTCGTCTAAAACAACAAATGACATTTTCTACTTGGACCTTTCAACGTCATTCCAAGTTACCACTCCACAATGGGTGTCTTTAGCTGTAGCGAATGCACCGGTTGCCTTCATCTACTCCGCGTCTGTTGTTAATCCGTTGGATAATTCTACCATTTATCTAATCGGTGGTTACATGCTTAATCTGAGTACAGAACAAGTGAATTTTGATACGACGGTATTCACATTTGATACTATTAGTAATAAATGGAACACATTAGCTACAAGTGGCAGCGCACCACAAGGCCGGCAGGAAATTAATGCCGTAGTAGATAATACAGGAAGAGTATTTATTTTTGGTGGAGGCAAGATTAATAATTATATAACCGGCTCTGCCGATTTCTATAATGATATAATTATTCTGGATATTTCCACGAATACTTGGGCAAATATACAACCAACTCCTCAATTTCCAAGTTCACGAACTGATTATACGGCGACACTCTTGGAAAATGGCGTTATTGTTTATATCGGAGGAAATGAGTTTGCTAGTAGTGTTGATCAAACACTTGTCACAGTCAGTTTGAACCAAGTAAGGTTTTGTTTTTTAATTTTTTAATTTCATTTATTTGTTCGACGATTAAATAAAAACATGACAATATCTCTTAATTTCGATTAGCTTCAACTTTATGATACCAAAAGTTCAATCTGGACTTCTATGGTATGTGATGAAATAAGTGTAAAGAATGGTTTTTTAAAACAGAATCCTTAGATTGTGTGCATTCTATGTCTTAGTCAATCTCCGGGGATAGTCTACAGGGACGTCAATTTCACACTGCTGTGCTTGGTGTGTATACTATATATCTTTACAAATAAGTGTCAAATTTTGTAATGTAGTTTTAAATTCTATTATCAATTTGCTCTTTAGCAAATAACGGGAAAATTATTGTATATGGGGGAGCTGGTAGAGGGAATGTACCGGTTACTCCAAAAATGGCCGTATTAGACACAAGCGTTACACCATACTCTTGGTATATTCCAACTTCCTCGGCTAACGACCCACCACTTTTAGCAGGCCATTCGGCAAATATTTATGGAGATTACATGATTGTTGCATTTGGTAAATGAAAATTTTATAGTTATCTTTTCATTTTGTACTATCTAACCATTACGTTATACAAATTTAGGGTTTATCCCAAATGCTCCAGGAAACATTATATTTTCAAATTCCGGTTTCAATTTCAATGAGAAGCTATATCTTCTTAATATTACAAACTATTCATGGGTTGGGTTATTTACTCCACCTTCCTCTCCTTCCTCTGTAACTTCTGCGACTTCTACCGCATCGACCACAACTACATCATCTACCCAGAGTACTGGTAGCGAATCGAAACTAGTGATTGGTTTGATTGTTATCTCAGGACTCGTTGGATTTATTATTATTTGTGGATTGGCTTTTTACTTTAAAAAACGCAATAAAAATAAGGTTTTAAAAATTCCCAGTGAAGAGTGTGAGCGATTATAAGATATAAGAAAAGGAATGTATTATTATTATTATTATTATATTATCTATCATCTTTTTTTATTTTATTTAGATATTTGTATCGTAGTTGTTGTAATAAGCTTGTGAAAAAAATGCACTTCAAACTTTTTTAAAAAAAAAAATCAATTTTAAATCGGTAGTCACTTGGGACATAAAAATAAGATATACAATAATTCTGAAGATTCAAAATGTCTTTTTTTTAAAAAAAGATAAATGATATCAGAATCGAATGTAACCTTTAGAATTTATCAAAATAGAAGAACAATTAGAACTAAACTGGTGATTGAGGAATACTGTGTTTTCTGATTTGGTTTTTTTTAAAACTGCATACTGTACTGTAATCGGCAGAGATTTGCGTAACCAACAACTTGACAAATTAATAGTAAATTTAATTTATAGAAAGTTCTAATATTTGTATATTGATTATATTGAATTATCGAATTATTAATAATTGCAATAAAATATACAGTATAGATCAAAAAAAATTGGAAAAAATCAAAACTCATATTTTATTCATAATTTAATAAATAATTAAAT